TGTGTGTGTGAGTGTGTATGTGTGTATGTGTTTGTGTGGGTGTGTGTGTATGTGTGTGTGTGTGTATGTATGTGAGTGTGTGTATGTGAGTGTGTGTATGTGTACGTGTGTGTGTATGTATGTGAGTGTGTGTATGTGTACGTGTGTGTGTATGTATGTGAGTGTGTGTATGTGTATGTGTGTGTGTGTGTATGTGTGTGTAAGAGTGTATATGTGTGTGTATGTGTGTGTGTGTATATGTATGTATGTATGTATGTGTGTGTGTGTATGTGTGAGTGTATGTGTGTATGTGTATATGTGTGTGTGTGTGTGTGTATGTGTATGTATGTGTGTGTGTGTGTATGTGTGAGTGTATGTATGTGTGTGTATGTGTATGAGTGTATATATGTGTGTGTGTATGTGTGAGTGTATGTGTGTGTGTATGTGTGTATGTGTGCTGTTATGAACAAGCTGCCCATAAGCCAAGCAATACCACCACCAACCTGTGCCGAGAGAGAGAGAGAGAGAGAGAGAGAGAGAGACAGAGAGAGAGAGACAGAGAGAGAGAGACAGGGAGAGACAGAGAGAGAGAGAGACAGAGAGAGAGACACAGAGAGAGATAGAGATAGAGAGAGACAGATAGAGAGAGAGAGAGATAGAGAGATAAAGAGACAGAGAGAGAGAGAGACAGGTCACAAAGCACCATATATACACACACACACACACACAGAGAAGCCACTCCCACCAATCACCGTCAATTCAACCACAGATGTCCGTGGGAGTGGACTCCAGTGTGTGTGTATATATATATCATCATGTACGTAATAGTAATATATATACATCATGTACGTTATATATATACCACCATGTACATTATATATATACACGAGAGGTGTGCCAGAGTCCTCTTACAGTGGGGGTGGTGGCGGGCGGGCGGAGGCTGTCCCTAGCAACACGTCTCTGACTCCATCAGTTCAGGGTCTGCATGAACCACCGTGCTCGCAGAGGTCGCGGAGGTCGCGGAGAGAGGGGAGGAGGAGGGCCCGGACACACCCACACCTCCTAGCCCATCGCGGCTGCAATAGACAGACGGGTAGACGCACGCACATGTCACACACACACACACACACACACAGACTAACATTAGGTCATTTTGTCAAAGCGTTACGGCACTTGCAACATAAGTAGGTCAGAGAAGTGCCAAAGATTCAAGGTGTTACTAGAGAGAGAGACCTACAAGGTGTTACTAGAGAGAAAGACCTACAAGGTGTTACTAGAGAGAAAGACCTACAAGGTGTTACTAGAGAGAAAGACCTACAAGGTGTTACTAGAGAGACCTACAAGGTGTTACTACAGAGAGAGACCTACAAGGTGTTACTAGAGAGAGAGACCTACAAGGTGTTACTAGAGAGAGAGACCTACAAGGTGTTACTAGAGAGAGAGACCTACAAGGTG